TCCTTCTTTGGCTTTCATTTCTGCCCAACCTTTTATATGCTGGGAGGAATGTGGTTTACACTTTTTGATTTAAGTGATTTTCAATGAGATTTGCACGTGTGTGTGTGTGTGGGGGCTCCGGGGTCAAACCCAGGGACTCATACATAGTAGATAAGTGCTCTACCACTGAGCTACATTCCATTCCCAATTAGACAGTTCTTAAAATGCACAATACTTGGAAGCAGCATAAAATCTAGAAAAATAATAGCAGATGCAGCTTTAAAAGTGTTTTGTGCTTCTTCAGTTGGAACAGGTTGGGTACAGGCCATACGTTCATTTATATTTGATAATCTCATGGAGAACTTTGAACATAGTATTTCAGTCTTACTAATGAATTTGCCTTTGAAAGCATTAACAATTTCTTTTTTTATTTTTTTAAACAATTTCTATAAATTGTGTACATTACAGAGATATGTGTCAAAGAGTGTTCAATAGCAGCCAAGTGGAATTAAGGAAAATAGATATTAGGAGAGAGAATTCCTCAGGGATAATCCATTTAAGTGGCGCTTCTGCTCTGCACTGATAACACCTGGGTTGCCTTCAGGGTGGCAAGATTTCAAAACGCAAATGTGTGCAATGAATGTATGGAGGGAGCACAATACGCAGCACTTTCTGAACATGTATTTTACTCTCTGCCCAAATCCATGAAATTACTTCTGGAATTAATTTAAGCAGCTCTTCTTTTAGTGTCTGAACTCTGCCTCACTATGTCATCTGTCATGGCCCATTTGGGACCCCAAGTGAATTTAAACCCTGTTCCTGGTGCGGTCTCTTTAGCTGCTTGAAACCAATGACTGATCTCTTGAGGCTTTTCTGGACTAAACTTTGTCACCTCCTGAAAACATTTCTTATCTGGCGGGACCACCATCTCCTTACTGGGACTGCATTCCAGTTTTATGTACTTTCTCTTAAAATTCTGCACTAAGAATCAATACTATTTTTTTGGAGAGGGGGACCAAAAAAACGAAAAGGGAACTCTTTGCTTCTGTTGCACTGAGCATTGCATTATGTTTCTGTCCTCCAGTAGAAAAGCAGAATTTAAGTTATGAACACCAGAGATTAAGAATGACATTGGATAAACCACCAAGTTCTGGATATTGCATTTTAGAATAGAAATATACTGTGGCTTAAAGGAGAGTTTCTATTTATAAAATCTTAAAAAGGTGTTAGAAATCATTTGTATTTTATTTAAAATCTAAACAACCCCTAAAATAATTGTCCAGATAAATGTCCTTAGCGGTTCAATTCCATTCTGAGAATATAGAGTTGACATTTGCTTTTCAATATTCCCTTCAATCTCATTTTGGCTTTTCTCATCAAGAAGACAACTTAATTGGTGAGCAAACACTGCTGTTTCTTTTTAGTTCTATGTCTTTATGTTTATATGTGTGTGTATACACGTATTACATTTAAGTTCTGGTTAACAGCCTGAACAATGGGATGCTGTCAGAACAGGCTGGGAAACAACGTAATGGTCAGCAGAAAGGCCCTGGACTCAGTGTAAATAGTATTTATTCATGTTATGTGATTCATTATGATGTCAGTGCAATGTGGTAGTTACATCAATGCCCAGTCCATTTGCATTTCAAATTTATTCCTAGTGAAGGGTGTTTTTAGATTGCGTTTTACAGCATTTAAGTATGCTTACAGATGTAATAGATACTGTTGGTGTCTTGTCCAAATGTCATTTACCATGTTAGGGCTGTAAGCATTGGCTACTAATTCCTCACAGATGCCACCCCTCGTTTTGGCCCCAGAGAACTATCCTCAAGAAAATATGATCCATCTTGCTGAGATGCTACACACTTCCTGGGGACAAATGTGGCCAATGACTGGGTGACAGAATTTACAGGTCTGGTCCTTTGTCTCAAGGTGATACTTACTACTCTGGGGGATCAGTCTGAAGCTGATTCCATTTAAGGCCATATCTCAGCTCAGTGTTGTTCTTTATTCTTCCTGCGTTTTTGATTCCTCTTGTCCTAAAGTCACATCACATGATAAACCACTTTCACAAGAATCTCTGTTTTAGGCTTTGCTTCTTGGGACTCCAAAGATAACATATTTCCTAGTGATTTCTAGTTGGAAACTTATGAAAGTGAATGGTTTTTTGTAGCAGCTATACAACTTGAAATTTTAAGAAATAAAATCCAATCATTTGGCTAATTATCTGGTTAGGAAGTCTGATTCTATTTAATATGCTGTGTCTTCTAAGTGGGCTCCAACTAAAAACATTTAGTCAATTTAAAAATAGTTTAGAAATAAGTTATCTGGTAATAAAAAAGGAATAGAGCCTCTTAGAAAAATCTCCTTAGTTGATGGAATAGATCATGTATAGAGCTTGGTTTATTGGTAGCACACATTGAAGTCTTTGAAATTTCAGTGAGATGCAAATTTTCATATGGAGTCATTCAGTGTATCCCTGAAATGAGTCATTGTAGACAGTTAATTCAATGTAAAGATAGAATGCCATAAACGGAATGCATTTAAGTGATGCATGGTAAAGAGGAGTCTCCTCATCCCACATTCCCATTGTCAAGGCTTAGTATTGAAAGCATTGATCTTCTTGGTGAAGAAATATGTTCATATAATGAAGAATGAGAGTCAAGTACCATTCTTCTACTCTAAGATTTAATCTTGAGTCCTATTGACTCAAAAGTGGGAATATCCAGCCCTGGAGCTGATAGACATATACGATTGCCTGTTTTTCTCCATGAAACACTGAGCTGGTTATTTTTGGCCTGCTTAGGTGCCTTATTCTTCCAGAAGAAGCTGGCTTAAAGAGGTGTCATAAGGGGTTGTAAGGTCCTGAAGGTAAGATTAGCTTAGCCAGTGTGCATGTCCCATGTCTGCTTAACCTCAAGGCTTGGTAATCAGTTTGGTAGGGGAGGAGAAATCTTAGGTATCAAGCCCAAGGGAAAGGGTAAACATGGTAATAGGGAGCTAAGGAGATTAGAGGTGTATGGCCTCAGAGGAAGTTGGGGTCCTATTCCAGTTTTATTGGTGCCAGTGATCTTGTGAACACGTGGCCTTTCCAGATGTAAGGCACAAGCATCATCAAGGTACAAATGGGGAGACTTGTACAAGCAAATGTGAGTGTCATTCCATCTTAGAAATCCTAGACAGTGAGAACATCAGGGTCATTTTATTTTTAAGGAACTATCCATCAGCCAGAAAGTACAAAAGTGAAATATGATTTTTCTTAGCCACCATTATACAATCTTTAGTTCTCCACCATTATACAATCTTAATACATGCTCTGAAATGTCATTCTAAGGTGAAAACAGCAAATGGTCTTCCCTAATGTCTAGAATATGTCTAGATGGCCTGATATGTGGAGACAGGAAGCCAGATTTGAGGTACAGGATGGAGAAGCAGGGCAGATCAACTGTGCTCGATTTTTAGATAAATCAAAAGCTTTACTTACTGTTTCAGAAAGATATCAAGAATAGACTCTATCAAAATTATTGTTGTACTTGAGTTGTACCTAGAATCCTCCTTTTGGTAATGAATGCGACATTCCTCAGAAGTGAACTCATTTCCATTACTCATTTTTAAGAACACATGTTCTGTTTGTCTTTTTACACTCATTGTAATAAGATTTAAAATAGATCCTCATCATCACCTATTTAAGGGTTATGAATAGTGCTGCCTTGAAAAAGCCTGGTGGAAATTCATGTGGAAATTAAAGCGATGCATTAGATTTAGAAGCAAGGAATTCACAAAAATTAAGTTGAGGGTAGATTGTGTAAGTATTCTGAGCAGGGAACACGATGAGACCACTGGGAGCTCACCATGCTGACATTCAGATGTCACATGTGCTTCTAGATAAACAAGTGGAGCAGGAGGGTGGGAACTTGAAGACTTACCAGAATCTATCAGTCAGAAAGGATCAGTGATCCAGAGATTATCTAAGTGGTGGGTTGGATAACTGAGCCCATACTTCCTCTCTCCTATATCCACCCCTTTCTTCAGGTGGTGTGGTAGTACCTGCTCCTAGGGCAAGAGTAGATGTCTCCATTCCGTGACTTTTGCTCATATAAGTTACTCAGTTAATGGAATGCCAGTAGAGGTTGCAGCGTACTACCTCCAACCCCAGTGTCTGAGGTTGTACTTGAGTTGTCTCTAAGAAGCATTGTGTGCTTTCACTTGTTCCTGCCAGGAGAAGAACTTAACATATCTGGGCCACTGGTCTGCAGAAAGCATAAGAGAAATGTAAAGGAGAAGATGCAACAATTGAATGGGATATGGATCAGTGGAACCATAGCAAACCATGGCTACTTTTTAAGCATTGGAGTTTTAGGTAAACTTGTTGCTTAAGCAAGATTGTTAAGCAAAATTATTGACTGATACAAGCACTCTTTCTAAATATGTCTGTTGGAAGGAAGAACATATATAACAGTGACTAGAAAGTGAGAGCATGGGTAGGTAATTCCTTTCTGAAAATGAGAACAGGACTTGTCTTTATGGTTGTAACAGGGACTGATATTGCTCCCCATTTGCATATATCACCTCTTAACTGGGTCTTTGTAAAGAGGGAAGAGCACTGCAGACTTCTGGTCTTCTGACCATACTGGAAACACTGGCATGCCCAATTTCACCGATGAGACAATGGTCTCTTTGGGAAGCAGCAAACATTCCAAGGCTCCTGTGCAATGACAGGTTGACACAGGTGCACAAAAACCTAGGGCAAGATAACTCTAAAGGGCTTTGGAGTTTCGTAGGGGATTGGCTGAGATCTTTGTTGTAGCCATGTCATGACCTAACTTACCCCTCTGTCCAGCCCTGCTTCTCTTACCTTTTCACAAATATTGTCCCCAAAGCACTCCTGAACAATCCTCCCGCATGTAAATCTCCGAGGCTCAGAGTCAGCGTGTCTGGGAGCACCTGGACCTATGGTACACCATTCTTATTCATCCTTCCCGTGGGCTGGACCTGGAGGAGGGGGTGGGAGAAGGCCTTACCCACTATCATGTGGTTGCAGACGTCACAGAAAGTGGGCTTCTTAAAGATGTGCTCCTGAAAGGCGTGTGCCTTTCCACTGTTGGGGTGCAGGCCAGCCCTGGTGGGTGTGGATGTCAGGCTTCCAGGTGAAGGCAGTGGGCTGGAGCTGGGGCTGATTTCCACCAGCATGTCTGCTGGCAGCTTCACATCGCTGTTGGTTCGCTGGAAGAAGTTGTCAGCACTTTTGCTCCGTAAACTCTTGGTCTTGAAAGAAAGTGATCGTTTTAGTTTCTGGAGCTGCAATGCAATGACAGAACAGTCTCTCTTACGATGGATCATGCAGACTCATGCGGTGGGGGTGAGGTCTGCTCCGTGCACTGTATAGTTCCCAGTGACACCCTCAGCCTCCAAGGAAGCTCCTGTATGTCTCTGTGTGGGCGGGGGATGTCAGTGCCTAGTTAAGTTGAAATTCCGTGGCACCCCACAACCCCCTCCCCCGACCAGAAAGGGCACCTCTGCTTTTGGTTTTGCCTTTGCTCGTCCTTCCCTGCATCCTTAAGGCTCCAACAATGTGCAGTCAAAACAGCTTATATTGAGTTTTTGATACTGTTTATCTTTTGAATTTGAGTAATTGGAAATGATGCATGCACTCATCTTTTGAATTTGAGTAACTGGAAAAGATTAGTGTGTAATGCTGACTTTTCTCTCCTATGACCACTTAGCAGTCACTTGTCTCAGTATGCATCAAAGCAGAAGAGGCTACTGTCTGAATTGGCATCAGTCCAGCTAAATTATCCACAGGACACAGACCAGAAACTCAAGTTTGCTTGAGTCTCATGCACATGAACAAATAATGTGTTGAACAGAACATTTAAATCACATATTTGGCTTTCTTCGTCCTTCCTCTGGACCTCCCACTTGGTTTTGGCCATGGCAGATGGAAGACTAGGACATTTCCCCTTCACCTTTGAGACTTATGAAGAGACACAAAAATGGATTTGGAAAACTACTAGCTTCTGAAGGTTTAGTTCTGAAATCTGTCTGCAATTCTGTCCAGTATTTCAAATGCTGGAGGGATCTTTTGGAAACACCAATGTGAGCACGTGAGTGTCTTGTTCAGAGTCCTTTAAGAAATTTCTTTTTTCATAGGTTTAAGGAAAAGTATCTCAACATTGGATTGAGGGGGTGGGCTCTGATCACATCTACTTTGCTCTGTCCATCTCAACTGCTGTGGCTTTTTCAAAGTCTCTCATACTTACTATGTCTTTTCAACACCAGCATTAAATACTCACATTTCCCTCTATCCAGATGAAAGGAATGAACCACTTGCTGCATGACCTTTAATATGTGCCCTCAGCCTCAAGATGGCTCTGTTTCATAGATGTCTTTCCTATTGCCTGGAATTAATATCTATGGCTCAAAGCTGCAGATACAAAAGTGCTTGGTACTCTATTCTAATAAAGGTCTCTACCAAATATGGTTGGACTTCCCTATAGAACATGTAGGATGAGTCAATGTGGCCTTGCCAAGACCCACTACTTCCACCTTAATCCTTTAACTTCTACATCAAAAGATGTGGAAGATATGGTGATCATTAGTGCTTGGAGTAGACTACAAAAGGCCACAATTTCTTACCCTTTCTCTTACCCAGATCACTTTGCAAGGTAACTTTTCATCTACTCTCATCAGAAGCAGAGCTTATTTTCCACTGCTTGACTCTTGTTGGTCTTGGGAATTTGACTAATAAAATGCAGCAAAAGTAATTTTATGTCAGTTCTAAGTGCAAGCCTCAGTGTGCCTTGCATGCTTCAGTCTTCCTTTGGGAATCCTGCCAAATTACTATATGTACAAACCTAAGGTGGCCTTAAGGATTATATGGGACACATGATCTAGTCAAACTCCCATCACTCCAGGGAGATCCCAGCTTACAGCCACTCTGCCACCCTGTAGACTTAAGGGAGTCTAGCTGAGACCAGAAGAGCTCCAACTGCGCTCCATTCAAGTTGTCTACCCACATACTCATCACCTAAAGATATGACTAGTGCTTTAATCCATTAAGTTTTACATCCATTTTGTGTACCCAGTAATAAATAACTGACAATGCTGTTCTCCCCACCCTCCTGCTGCTTCTCTGTACTCGCGGAATTGGACGTGATTGAATGAAGTCAACTCTCCACTTCAAGGAGTCACGCAGTGGAGAGACCCTGCAGTGGCCTCTAGAAAAGTACCATCATGGCCAGCAATGGGGCATCATTGGCCAGAAAGGTGTAGCCAGAGAAGTGGAAACAGCCTAAATAGAGAGATAAGAAATAGTGGCCCAGGGGCTGGGGATTTAGCTCAGCGGCAAAGCGCCTGCCTGGCAAGCGCAATGTCATGAGTTCGGTTCCCGGTACCGGAGAAAAACCAAATAAATAAATAAATAAATAAATAAATAAATAGTGGCCCAGCTGGGACTCTTGTTTCTTTTTCTCTGTCCTACAACTCAAATCTATCAGAGGAGCTGCCAGACGAGGAGTAAAACATGGGCCTGAGTTATTTTGGACATGGTTTTTTATTGTAGCATAACCTAGCTTACCCTGACCAACAGAAGGGAGCAGGATCACGAGTTCTTGGGAGCATAGTGTTAATGTTGAAGAGGATCCTCTATCTCTGAAAAAGTTTAGTGAGAGGAGACTATGAAACAATCATTCACTGAGATCGAGCCAATCCAAGCTGAGGACCTGGAAGCAGCAGGAGCAAAACAAATCCTATTCACTTCAAATCCTTTAGGTTACAAACTGAACCAGTGCTGGGGGAAGGTAAGACTATGGTTTCATTGCAGATAGTTTTAAAAGATACATTAAGCAAGCAGGATGTTCAGGAATCTGCTAAGATTTTTCAAAGGATGTGTCACTTTGAGAGAGGGAGGCTTATCAAAGCAAATATTGTCACAGAGAGAAACTAAATTCACCTTCTGTTTGCTCCCAACTATGCCCAAACAGATCCATAATTATCTACTTATATCTCAAAAAAAGCAGAACAAACAATAACAACATGCAGATTAACGGCGTCTTCCTTGATCATAGCTGGGCACCGTTGTGAGAGTCACAGAGGATGATACCTGGGAGAGCTGAGAACTCTACATGCTGTGAATGGATGGAGGATGATGGCAGTCAGAAGAGTACAGAGCTGGGCCAAGGGAATCCAGTCTAATCCTCCCACCCCTTCAAGGAGGACGCTATTATTCCCTGGTAGAAATGGAGGGAGGTTAAGTAGCTTGCTTATGGTCACAGAGCTTATGCAAATCCAGACCACAGTTCGAGGTTCAGTCTGCCTTGCTCTGATCTCCCTAGTCCTTCTGTTGCTAGTGAGTCTTTGTGGAATGCATGGGGGGGGGGTCAAGAGAGTTACCCCTTACTCCCAGGGAGATGAAGTTACTTCTGGTGAGTGAGGATGAGGAGGGATACGGAATGAGAAAGCAAATCTATTTTTTGGCGTCTGTTCCCAGAAAATTTACGTATGATATTTAAATATGATGCCAGAAAACCCGCAGCATTTTCTCTGGCCTTTGGGATGTGGCTGGATTATGTCAGGCTTCTGCGGCCTGCCTGCCTAGAGCCAGACAGTGTGCTTGGAAGCCAATGTGACATTTCTTATTTAAGTGGGTAGCTTAAAAGCAACACCTAACTATAAAATAAAGTCCTGGATGAAAGCTCAAAGAGGCATGATTTCTCCCATTACCCCTAAAAGAGCAGAGGCAAGACAGGAACATATAAAAGGCAAAAATAGAAACAGTCTGAAAATGGCAGATGTTGCAAAATTGATTAGCTTCCCTGCATAACTGCTGCAGTCCAGGTTCATTTTATTCACAATGGTAAAATTAGCAGATATTCTTGAGTCGCTTATCATGTAATAGAAATCACTCCCTATTCTTTACTTCTTAGCATTTTAGCAAATATATAAGTAGGGGATTATTCATTCTTCATTAAATAATTGATTCAATAAATATCTACCGAGTACTACTATGAACAAGGCATTGTCCTTGATTTGGCAATTTGCAGTGAAAAAAATAAAGTCTTAGCTGGGCGTAGTGGTGCACGTCTGTAATCCCAGCACTTCTGAGGCTGAGGCAGGATGATCGTTGTGAGTTCGAGGCCAGCCTGGGCTACAAAGTGAGCTCAAGGTCAGCCTGAACTGCATAGCGAGACCCTGTCTCAAAAAAAAAGACAAAAAACAAACAAACAAAAAATAAAGTCTTTTTACCCTTAAGGTTTTAAGATCTAGTGGGTAGTGGATAACTGTAGAAAAATGATATATAATATAAATTTTGATGAGCATAGGCTCTATAAAGGAAAATAAAAGCAGAATTAGGCCTTACAAGGTGACAAGGAAGGCTTTTCTGACAGTTGACACTCGAGCAAGTATGTGAAGGCAGAGGTGAGTGTGTGAACCATGCCGAAGAAATGCACTTCAGGGAAACTACGAGCAAAGGCTCAAACAAGGGTGCAAGGTTCCTGTTCAGAGAAACATCAGGAAGTCATCGTCTCTGGAGAAGAATGGTGAAGTAGAGGAAAGGGCACAGATGCCAAAAGCAGCTTCGTGCTGGGCCTGGCAGATCACAGCTAGGGCTCTGGAATTTATCCTAAGGGTAATGGTTTTGAGCAGGGAAGTGACAGGGTCTGACTTTTATTTTAAAAGGGTTATTTTAAAGAATAAATTTTGGGTTGATCTAGTTATGGTAAGGTGTGGTTGGATATAGAGTACTTTTGAAAGATAGAATCATGGGTTTTCAAAGAAAAACTCAAATTTCCTTCCCCAGAGAGAGGGAAAAAAGAATCAGGGGTTTGATGAGGTCTTGGATGTGGAGAATGGAGAACTGCAAGTTTTTTTCCTGAAACAACTGGGTGAATGGAAGAGCTATTACTATGTAGGAGAAAGGAATTTGGGTTGAAAAGTGTAGTGGTTTGTGATGCTTATTTGGAGTTCAAGTGGACCTATCAAGTCAGCATCTGGGTATATGACTGTAAGGTTGAGAGGAATGGAATGGTCCAAGCTTGAATAATACTTGGGAATTACTAGCATATAGATGGTACTTACAGCCATGACTATAGATGAAGTAACACATAATGAGTGAAAGAAGATATTGTATAGAACTGATCTGAGGACAGAATCCTGGAATACTCCAATATTTAGAGGACAAGATTAATGAAGAGGAGCAAAGGAACTTGAGGAGAGGCCACTAGGGAAGGAGAAGACCTATAGAAAGAGGTATTGTAGAAACCAAGGGGAGAAAATGATTCAGAGAAGAGAGACTAGCA